TAGCAATGGCATGATAAATATTCATTTCATGTTCATGTTCTTCATAAGATTAAGAAACTGACCTAAAATCATGATTTTGTATTGCTTTAGAAAAAATGTGACCTGTCCCTTTAAGAAAAAGTATAGGTAATTGGTATCGGTGAGTACTTGAAAAAAGTACTCGGTCTTAAAAAAGTGGTATCGGTGCATCCCTAAAAAATACCAACAACTTTTTGCCTCTGCTGCACTTATTTTAATAAATACCAGTACAGGGTGCTCATGCAAGCCAAACAGGGTGCACTGCTCTAAGTGAAGGCCGATCCTGGTCTCTGTACTCCATTCCTGGTCTCTGCACTGCCGGGGTAGTAATACTTTTAATCCTGCGGAAGAAAGGATGATGCTTTTGGCTGCAATTATTGAGATTTGAGCACCTCTGATGATAATGTCACATCGTGCTGGTGATAAAAAAAGATAGATGAGCCTCACAGGTCTGTGAAGGTTCTCATGTGTCCAGGTCATCATAAAGGAACTAGCAGGTTGTCACATTCAATTGAAGAGATGAGACAAGAATGCCCCCAAAAAAACATAGGCACAAGACAGCAGAGGTGCCCAGGAGGAAGAGATGAAACATTCAATTGAACTTGTTCTCTAATGTTGAAATTCAAGACGTTTCCACAGCTCCCGACACTCATTAGAACTGAAGAAGCTACTTGGGTGAATAGCACAACATCTTCAACATTACAGAAGGAGTCCAGTTGAATGCGACGCTATACGGGTCTGGAAAAAAGATGGATAGAAGTATATGACATATAACCAGTCGTTCCTCCTATAACATTGGTGCAACTCTCAAAGGACAGCAAAGTAACGAGAAGAAGATGAGGGAATATCTCTTGTTTAAAGTAGATGTAAACCCAAAAGAAATGGGATCCACTTAGCTCCTGTAGTTTCTTTGTAGCCACTTCCTATTTACATTCCATCACATTACTCACAGTAGGTTTACTCTTTCCCAATGCCTGTGTTATATTCGTCAACACAGTGATGCCCTGGCCGATAGAGACAGATTTAGGAAGCACCGGAACAAGAGGGATTATTTAAACCCTGAAATGTAATCTTCTTATATTTTGCCTTCCCTGGTTACTCCCCCCCCCCAGTGACAGGAACGAGCAGCCTAGGACAGAGGCTGAGGGAGGTGACGGAGCCTGTCACTACTCCACGCCTCCCGCTCCGTCCCAGCTCTAAGCGCTCCGTCCGTGCCTCCCCCGCTACCTCTCTAACGCTCCGTCCCCGCCCCCCCTCCTCGGCCCCCCCCCCCCCCCCCCCCATCAACATGCTAAATTACATTTTTAAACATAACATTTTCATTGCATACCTCATTTTAGACGCAGTGATGTCATCACTGTGTTTCTCCATGTTAGCCTTTCTCAACCACCCTGGAATGCCCTCTGGCTTCCTCAAAATTTTCAACAGTGTCATGCCTCTAAGATTCTGGTGTGAAAGAAGGGGGCTCCTAGTGTAAGAGGGGGATGTGATAGGTGAGGGTATCTGATCTGAAGGGGGTCCTGATGTAAAAGGGGGCGTCTGATATGTAGGGGGATCCAGCTTTGAAAGGACTGATCTGAAAAGGGAACCCCATTTTGTGTGTTATTTTTGCATGGGGTCCCGCTTAAAATTCATACCAGACCACTATCTGGGATAAGGGTTTGGAATGGATTTTAGAGGGGTCTTTTTTTTTACATTTTAGGACTGGGGTACCTCAAGATTCTGCATTCTTTTAAAAAGGTGCCATGACTCAAAAGATGTTGAGAAACACTATGCTATGCAATGCAGGCGGATCATGGCTAGTGATAACACCCATGTGTGATGCTGAGCCTCCATGAATGAAATTTGATAAATGTAAAGAGCGGGCCCCGGCACAGTCAGACTGCGAGGAGCGGGCCCCGGGGACAGTCAGACTGGGGAGGGGGAGCGGGGCACAAAGTGTGCAGTGAAATCATAAGCAATTTCAGTGCAGGAGAGGAGCCGCTACATTACTTTTAAAATTACAATGTTACACATGAGCATTATTCATCGGCCGCACAGGACGTCTGCTGCGTGCGAGTAAAAAAATCATTCCCCATTATAACAACTTTTATTCTCAATATCTTCAATCGCGGCACTCTGCTGAAACATACACATTCATCATTTGTATACTCTTTTATATAAACCAGGTAACAATTTATGCCGAGTGGACATTAAATAATAGCCAGGTCGGGTCCATTCTGCATTGATAATATAATAACTTAATCCATACACAAAAAGCCTTGTAACCTAGTGCAAATATCTGCCCGATGGCGGCTGAAATAGCTTTGAAAAGAAAATCCTTAAAGTGATAATCCACAATTGTTAAGAAAAAAAAAAATCCCCTCCACGTTGATGACATACATTATGGATGTCAACAAAGGTAAATGTAGATCATTACCTGCTTCTGTTCTTTAGGTACAGAGATAGTCACAGCAGTGAGCTTCCTGTAAGTACTAAGGAGGGAGGGACTGCCTGCTATAATCACATGATCAGCCGCAGGGGAGATATACACTCTATGGGCAAAAGTATTTGGATGTCCCTTTAAAATAACTTTCACTTCATGTGTTTCTAGTGAAGGGTATTGTTAAAAGGAGAACTATGGGGTCAGTGTTTTTCCCCATAGTTCTCCTAAGAGTAAGGGGAGGACACAAACTAGCGTCCTCCCGTCACCCAAAGCTCAGTATAGCGCAGCCGAAACGGATCCAGACAATTATGTGTGGATCCGCCCAGCTGTGTGAGTGACAGCTGGCTCTGCCTATCTAGAGGCAGAGCCAGCTGTAACCGCCCCCCCCCCGTCCGTTCCGCCAGTCAGCGCTGGAGGATCGGAGCGGGGAATTCAGCCCCTCCCTTGTCACGGCTCTCTGCCGTGACAGGATCGAGTAGTGAGCGAGCGCCGGTATGTGTTCGCTCACTTCCCGATCTACTAAGCCGACCTGTGACAGTCTCATTGTCACAGGTCGGCTAGAACTATGAGGTGAGTGAAAAGCACTCACCTCATAGTTCTCCTTTAAAGCTGCACCATACAAAGACATTTTAGACCAGGGGTAGGTATCCTTAGCACGCCAGCTGAAGAACTACAAGTTCCATAATGCATTGCAACACTGACAGCCACAAGCATGACTCCTATAGGCATGCTGGGATTTGAAGTTTCACCACAGCTGGAGTGCTGAGGTTGCCCACCCCTGTTTTAGACAATTGTGCCCTTCTAACCTTGTGGTACCAGCTTGGGGAAAGCCCCTGTTTCAGCATGATTGTGACCCTTTGCCCAAAGCCAGTTCCATGAAAATAGGGTTTGATGGGTGTGGTGTGGAGGAACTTAAGTGTCCTACACAGAGCCCTGACCTCAACCCTACTGGACACCTTTGGGATGAATTGGAACACTGAATGTGAGCCAGGTCTTCAGGCCCAAATCCACTCCAGCTCCATAAAGACATGGTTTGATGGGTGTGGTGTGGAGGAACTTAAGTGTCCTACACAGAGCCCTGACCTCAACCCTACTGGACATCTTTGGGGTGAATTAAAACATGGATTGCAAGCTGAGTCTTCCATCCGAAATCAGTACCTGACCATAGAGTGTAGAAAAAAAAACGTGCAGGGAAAAAGCAGTGAGCCAATCACATAAGCGGAGAAGTTGTTTCTTGCAACATTGTCCATTCTCATTAGCTGAAAACATTGCACCATTTGAGTAATTGTAGATTCTGATTGTTTTCCTTGTTTGTCGGGACATTGAAGAAGGTAAAGCAACACACCGAGCTGAGCCGGCCCATGGAGGAATATATAATTGGAGGCTCAAGTTGCCCTTTAGCAATCAGTAACTAAAATATGCTTCATATCCTTAACAAGCAGCCAATAGGCCTTATAACAAGGCTCCACTGACCTCTATAGCTTCAGGAACTGTGGAGCAATTCATCCTCAAAGTTACACAGAAGACACTTTCACCAATTCCAGCAGCTCAGTTCTTCTCATTCCCCCCACCTAGAAGTGACTTGGCAGTCTGCCAGCCTCCTAATCTCTATGTAAAGACATGGAAGGCAATTGGAGGAGGAAAGAGCAGAGGCTCAGAAGAGAGGCACAACTAGAAACCAGTGCGCCCCCTCCCAAAAAACCCCCCATGTTTTTGATACCTTTTTTTTCTATTAAATAAACATTTTGCATGTTATGACTTTCAGCGCTAGTTCACACCAGCCCCAGTGCGTGTGAGAAGGGTCCTCTCCCAACAGAAGAATGTGCTGAATGGCAGTGCCTGCTGTGTCGGTAGCGGCTCCGCCAGGCAGACAAGTGACAGACACAAGCTGGAACACCAGGGCCCGGTCGCTGCGACCCTGGTAGTTCCGCCAATGGCTCAGAATGACTTCAGTCCTTCTATTGTGAACTTTGAGGACTCATTTTGCCACAGTGCCTGCAGTTACAGCTGTCAGTGAGTTTTTCTATTCTGGCTTATTTACAGCTTCAAGATTTGAAATGTCCATAGCCTGGCCACAGCTCCACATTAAATCTCAACTCGGAGACAAGTAGATGTCCTGCTTATTTTGTGGGATGTGCATCCAAAGGGGCACCGCAAGGACACAAACAGTAGAGGGCTCCACAAAGTTCCTGCTCTTCAGCACTGTTATCTCAGCACTGTTATCGCCAATAAAAAGGAGGCAGTACTGAAAATCCTGGTGGTGTAACTGGAACCATCCAAGGCTGAGGCAAGTCTGGAGGTCTTCTCTGTGGAGGAGCACCGGTCATGTTGGAGAACATATGCTACAGTAGAAGCAGAAGGGCGATGCCCTCTGGTTTTTTTGCATTATATGGTCAGCATTGACCCTTCTATTTCTTTCAATGCCTTATTATTGGAAGAGCTACAATCTCAAACTCTCTCCCTCACAGGAGTTTTTTTTAGGTGCAGTTAAAAAAAAAAAAAGTTCTTCAGAAAGTTGCATTGGAAGCTCATAATGACTTCAAAAACAGAGATTGTGACTAAAGTGCTTCTCCGGATAGAACGTCCACCTGGCACTCCGGCGTCTGCTGAAACACGGAGTCATGTCCCTGTATGGAGAACAGGTAGGGCTCCTTCCCCACCCCCTTCTCCACGTCCAGATGGTTGGGGTGGTGCCGCTGTATGTGCTTCACCACTTGGAACTTCTGCTTGGCCCGGTATGAGCAGTGCTGGCAGAAGAAAGGCTGCTGGTTGGTGTGGGTGAGGTAGTGGTGGCGCAGGCCTGCCGGCCAGCGGAAGCCGCGCTGGCACACGTTGCAGACGTACGGCTTGTCCTCGCTGTGCTTCTTGAGGTGCGTTTTCAGCAAGAAGCGAGTTTTAAATGCCTTGCCGCACTGCTCGCAGATGAAGGAGCGGACGTCGCGGTGACGGGTCTCCCGGTGGACGCGCAGCGCGTCGGCTCTGTTGGTGCAGTAGCTGCACTCTTCGCACTGGTATGGCTTCAAACCTGAAAAGTGGAGGGGTATGTTAGCAACAGGGGCCTATTCTGGTGCCTGGGACTACGAGTACAATTTGCCTGGCGTACCGTCTGAATTTTAATGTGAATGTTGTTCATAGAATGCAGACTGAAGCAAAATGCTAGAACTCGGCACTAAAACACTTTTTAAATTGAAAATGGCAGCAATATACAATATACAGGCAGTCCCCGAGTTACATACGACTCCTACTTACAAAGGGAGGCTATTACTGTACAGCAGGGGTAGTTATAATGCTACCACGCTTGTACTGACGAGGAGTTCCCGCCTTTATTGGTCTGGTTTATAGTACTGTACACAGGGCCCCATAGCAAAATTTTGTATGGGGCCCCATGATTGCTAGTTATGCCACTTGCAGAGCCCACCTGAGAGTGACCCTGAAGAGCCCACCATAGACTATCTATAGTGGGCTCTGCAGGGTCTCAGATGGGCTGCACACCTCTTACCTGTCCGCCTCCGTGGTCGCCAGGGCCTCTGCCTCCTCTTCCGTCCCCCGCCTCCTCTATCGGCGGGCCCCGCCTTCTCTTGCATCACTAACCCCACCTGCTCTTAGGTCGCTGGCCAGTGATGTAAGAGGAGGCGTGGTTGCTCTTAGGCGGGGCGCGCCTCCTCCTTCACTGCGAATGCTGACCTCTTCTGCCGTAGCTGCTGGCTGTCACTGACACAGCTCTGCAGCAGCAAAGAGGGGAAACGCCACTGCTCAGCTGGGTCAGTGACAGCCAGCACCCTTACATGCCATAGCGACCCAGGCGGCCCACACGGCATCAGAGGGATGCCCTGGCTGGGCCCCAAAGTGGCCGTCTGGGTCGCTATGGCGATTGTTACGCCACTGACTGTGGGTCCCCGCCTCTTCTTCCGCTTCACTGCGAGGTTTTTACTGCTGTCTGTATCCTCATTAGAAAGATTTAAACTCACTTCCTGTCCTTGAGACAACAGGAAGTGAAAGGAAATCTACCCCTAGGAAGGGAAGTTCACTCCTGTAAGAGTTAGCATGGGAAAAAGGTGTCTCCACTGAAGCTTTATCACCGATCCTTGTTTCCACGACAACCCAAAATTTGTCACAGGGACAGAAAGTGAGGTGAAATCTCCTGAACAGGGGCACACACAGCAAAACAAACGTTACAGGGGGTTAACCCTTTCCCTGTGCTATCCAAAACCCCCCCAAACATTTTTTTGTCTGGAGTTGCACTTAAAAAAATTTACCTGCTCCAACTTACATACAAATTCAACTTAAGAACAAACCTACAGTCCCGATCTTGTTCGTAACCCGGGGACTGCCTGTATATACATTTTATTTTGTACTGTAATGGGAGTAGCGTGAGATATATATTTCATAGTAAGTGCACGCGTACTAATTAACGTTTCCGTGTAACACTCGCCGCTATTGATTTCCTCTCACAGAGGTCACAGCGGGTCAGTTTATTTTTACCTGTGTGTTTGGTCATGTGATACTTCAGCTGGTTCACCCACTTGCACTTGTATCCGCACTCGGGACAAAGGTAGTTCTTTTCGTCCTTGTGTATGCGCATATGATACTAAAACAGAGAACGCAAACAGAACTCATTAAGCTACAATACAGCTCGGGTAAGCTGATGGGCTGCTCAGAACAATACCCGACACTTCAAAAAAAAAAAACGTTGTGCCTGTGCTCGCATTTCCACACATCAAGGTCAACTCCCTCCTGCAGGCCCTTTAACCACTTAAGACCCATTCACACCACATCCAGATCTTCTGCAGACCAGACCAGATTGTTTCTGGACCCAAAATGCATCCCAATGTATCCTTATGCTATTTCTGGCCTCTGTTCACTCCAGCGCAGTCTGTTCCAGACCAGACCAGAAAAAGACCGCATGTCTCATTTTGTCTGGTCTGGAATGCACTGAAACTATGGGCAGGTTCCCCCCATTTTCCGGACCAGATCTGGTGGATCACAGTTTGGCCTGGTTCACACCTGTACGTTTTGTAGCGAGTTCAGCGCTCTACAAAACGCTCAAACATGAAAATCCCATTGTTTTCTATGGGGATGGTTCACACCTTGCCGTATTTCAGCCCGTCTGAACGCGCTACAAAAAACGGCCTACGTCTGAAAAGGTACATGAGCTTCTTTGCGGCGTTTTTGTCGTGCGTTTCCATTGGGATACAGCCAAGTAGCCCTCGAAAACGCGCGTTTGTCTACCGCGAATCGCTGTAAAAACGCGCGTCACGAAACGCGCATATTCGATACGCCTAGGTGTGAACAGAGCCTTTGGGTGAGTATAACTCTGTTACTTTTAGCTCCCTAGACAAAACGAGCACTTAACCCTTGCAGTGCGGGGGTAGTCCCACTGCAAGGGTTAAGATTTTATCTGCATGGAGTTCTTCTATAAAGTGGCATTAAAGTCAAATTTTTTTGTCCCCCTTCCCAATCCTGCTGTAGGGACTTACCTTAAATCAGGGGTAGCCAAATGCCAGCCCTCCAGCTGTGGTGGAACTACAAATCCCATGAGGCATTGCAAGATTCTCACAGCCACAGACATGACTCCCGGAGAGAAATGCATCATGGGATTTGTAGTTTCACCACAGCTGGAGGGCCGGAGTTTGGCTACCCCTGCCTTAAATGATGCCTCTTAATCCGATCATCTTCTTTCCTGTCCTTTTCAGCTGTCCGGTGCGGGTCTCAGATCCAGCGCCGACTCCTCTGTCCTCCTCTTCTCTCATGTCCCACGGAGTCTGTGCGGGAGCACGCTGCTCCATAGACTTGCCTTGTGTCTCTCCTCGTCTCCCGGCCGAACACCTGAAGTCCGCATGCGCTCGCCCCAAGATCCTTTGCGGCCACCCGAGACTCTTCAGATGTTCAGACGGAAGTGCGCAGGGAAGACACAGGTAAGTTTAAACCCGTTTCAAAAGGTTTTTTGTTTAAAAAAAAAGTTTTTGCATATATCTACTGCTTGCTTGCCTTATATATGCAAAAAAACGTGAGGGTTTAATAACCCTTTAAGTGCTTGTTTTGCCTAGGGAGTTATACTCGCCCAAACCGGTCCCTCCAGCCCGTCTCCACGGATGGAATGTCCCTATGCGTTCTCACGTCCTATACACTGTATAGGATGCGATGACTGACAGGACCTTACACCACTGGAGTAGAGGGGGACACTGTAGGTCTAACAGCCAGTCGGGATCACAGTTTGGGTGAGTATAACTCTGTTACTTTTAGCTCCCTAGACAAAATGAGCACTTAACCCTTGCAGTGCGGGGGTAGCCCCACTGCAAGGGTTAAGATTTTATCTGCATGGAGTTCTTTAAAAGAAGTATTATGAGGCGAGTGATTTTCACTCAGCCTCATAGTTCTAGCCGACCTGTGACAATGAAACTGTCACAGGTCGGCTCAGTAGATCGGGAAGTGAGCGAACACATACCGGCGCTCGCTCACTTCTCGATCTATCCGTGCAGAGAGCCGTGACTGTCACTCACGGCTCCCTGCAGGGATTCCCCCCCTTCCCTGTCCGATCCCCCAGCGGGGAGGGGGCGGGTACAGCTGGCTCTGCCTCTAGATAGGCAGAGCCAGCTGTCACTCACGCAGCTGGGTGGACCCAGACAGAATTGTCGGGGATCCGTTCCGGCTGCGGCGGTCTCAGTATACCGCGAGCTGTAGCTTGCGCTATACTGAGGTTTGGGTGACGGGAGGACACTAGTTTGTGTCCTCCCGTTACCCTTAGGAGAACTATGGAGAAAAGCCCTGACCCCATAGTTCTCCTTAAAGCTCTATCCACATCTGAACTAGTAATATAACAGGAACAAAAGCTGTGTGACAACTCCGTCTCCTCAATGTCATAGCTGTCAATGGAAGCAGTCACAAAGACAACATGACTGCCAACCACGTCAGAAATAAGTGCGGCACAGACAACAAATTACTGTGGTCATCTGGTAAAGGAAGCCGATAAATTAGCAGACGCCCCAGCTTCATAAGAAACAAATGCTAAACAGCGTTGCCATTAGAGCCTATATATAAGACAGAGAGATCGCAAACAAAGGAATTGATACCTTAAGACGTGAAGGGTCGCCACAGGCGTAGGTGCAGAGGTGACATTTGTAAGGCTTTTCGCCGGTATGAATTCGGCTGTGCCAGGTGATCTTCTGCTTATTCCTGGTGCTGTACTTGCAGTCTGAACACTTGTAGACCCGCGTGGCCCCATGGCCCTTGACATGGTGGTCATACACCAACTGATGACGGCAAGAAAAGGAGCAGAAAGGGCAGTGCAGGGGATCTTCCTCCGCCTCTGCACCAGGCAGCGCAGAGGACTCGTGCACCTCCGCATAATGGTTTACCAGCTGCTGCCGGTCTTTCGCCGCGAACTGGCACTGCTGGCAGTGGTGAGAAAAGTGAGATTTGCGGTGTTCCTCCAGGTCCTGCCGGCGAGAGAAAGTCTCCTTGCAGATGGCACACTCCAGCTGTAGGTGTTGCTTCTGAACATGACATCGGAGCGTGGCCTGGCTGTGGCAGGAGAACAGACACTGCGAACATTCGTATGTCTCCTTCTCCTGGTGCTTCCGCAGGCTGTGCTGCTTCAGCGCCGCCTCAGAGCTAAAACTCGCTTGACACACCTTGCACGGGAAAACCAGTTCGCCGCTGTGGCAGCTGCTCAAGTGCCGAGCAATATCGTTCTGACTGTAGCCGCTGTAATCGCACAGGTTGCAAAAGTGCGTGGGTTTCTTCTCGTGGACTCTTCGCTGGTGCAGCCGCAGTTTAGAATTCGTGCCGAAGGTTCGATTGCAGACATTGCAGGAAATCCGGCCAACCCCAGTATGAAGGGACTCGTGAGCTTCCAGGCGGTAGCGCCGAGTGGTGCTAAAGTCGCAGTATTTACAACGGTGAGGTTTAACACCTTCGTGGCGGATCCGCACGTGCTGCTTCAAGCATCGTGGCTGCTTACAAGTGAAGTCGCACAGCTTGCATTGCAGATGCGTTCTGCTTTGAGAATACTTCTGGTGAAGGTCTCGGTGCCGTTTAAGCGCCGCCACCGACATGCACCGAAACGAGCAGAGCGGGCACTGGAGCTCCCCTGGTTTTAAACAACCTTTTTTTTTGTGTGTTCTCATGGCCCGCTCCTGGGTACATGTAAAGGGGCAGGTGGGACACGAAAGTTTGCAGGTGCCTGTAGATTCAATTGCAGCTTTGCAAGAATCTACGCTGTCATTCAGTTCTCGATCTTCCTCTGTATTTGGACCGCCCTCTCCTCCAGAACTTCCACATTCATATTCTTTATTCCGATTGCTGTTTAGGCTTTTATGCTTTGTGCAATTATGCTTTTTTAATGCCGTTTCTGAGCGTAGAACAGCTCCGCAGAGGGTGCAGGATATCCTTTTGACCTCCCGGCAGTTCTCGGTCACGTGGCAGTTAATAGTACATTCCCTGGAGCAGGAATAAGAGCAAAATAAGCATCTGAACTTTCCATTTTCAAAGCGGTATTTTTCCTTTTCCTCTAGCACAGAAAAAGCATTTCTCTGGTCCCTTAGAGTCTCTGAGGGGAGCTCACTGGCATTGTGCTCATTACTTTCTGTTCTATCTGGAAGACTTTCTTTGATATGATCTTGCACCAGCTCCTGACATGCAGATAACTGTCCTGAGGCTTTTAAACAGTCTTCAGGCAAGCTGGACTCTTGAGGAATAACTTCCTCAGAAGACACAACATTCATGTAATCATCAACCGGATGGAGGTTCGCACTCTGACCCATTGTCTTCAATGATGTAGTTGCCTTACCTCCAGCTCTTTTCTTCTTTAATGCTACTGGACACTTCTTAAGAACATGAGTATTGAGCCCTCTTTGTTGTTTAAAGCTAGCTCCGCAATCCTGGCACATCAAAGCAGATTTGCGCAAGCTGCAACCATTCTTGGAGTGCTGGACAATGCACGCCTTTTTCTTGGTGATGTAAGAACACTTTTCGCATCGGTAAACCTGACTTTTGGATTGCACTACCAACATTTGGACTCTTCCCTCCAGGACGAGCGTCTCTGCTTGCTCTTTGTCCTGTTTTCTTAAGGCTTTCAGTATAGACTCCGGTCTGCTATTATCATAGCTTTCGTCCGGACAGACAGCAGGAGGTTCCACCACCTGAAGGTTGCTCTCGCTAAGTCCGCTCGATTCGCATACAATGGTCAGCTGTACTCCGCCCTTTACGACATCGGCCCAGGACTCCTGTACTTCAACCGAGATGTCTCCAGGCTGGATTTCGAGATTGCCATTCACGTGGTCAGGAAGCTCTTCACATTGGTCACTAATTTCACACAAGACTGGCTCAGGGCTATAGTGGACAGTGGTTACACACACTTCGTTCTCAAGCTTGTGTTGATCTTCAGCCTGAGGTTCAGCTTCTTCTTCGAAATCCTGCCCACAGGTCATATGGTCGTCAACGGTCAAGGTCTCCGAGAAGCACAGGATTTCTGTTTGTTCTGGAAGAGGGTCTTCACAGGTAACTAAGGTTTCCACAGCAGGCTCTTTGATCATGAGCTCGTTGGATGTGGCTAGTTCCAGTTGTACTGGGAAGTCTTCCATTTCTATGCTGCAAGTTTCAACGGGTTCTAGAGTAATATCTGCCAATAAAGATTCCTCTGCTACTGACATGTTAGCATCTCCGGATGGCTCAGTAAGACCTTCTACCTGCAGGCACTGAGCTGCCTCAGAATCCATATTTTCCTCAATGTTGCTATCTAGTTCCTCACAGTTATGTTCCTGAGCTTGTTGATCACCAGAGGAAGGTTGTTGGTTGGTAAGAGTCTCCGACGCTTCAGTTTTGTATGGAAATAGCAGGTCGGCGTTGTTGATCTCTTGCTGCTTGCTAGCGTACCTCTCCAACCACGCTTTATCACCGGGTACGTACCCATGCGATTTGCGTTTGTGAAAAAACAGGCTTGTGTTGCTGAACGTGCGGAAGGGGCAGAGAGCGCAGCGGAACTCGCGGTGCTTGGTGTGCTTGCCGTTCTCATGGTTACGCAACGTTTGCTTGTACCTCGTCTGGTAGTTGCAGTGCTGGCACTGGTAGATGGGTATTTGAGTGCTCTGGGAATGTTTGACCTGCATGTGTTTCTGGAGCTCACTCTTGCGCTTGCATCCAAACCCGCAGATTTCACAGATCAGAGTCTTCCCCTGGTGTCGGAGCTTGTGGCTGCTCAGCTGGTCGGCACGGTGGCAGCGATACGAACACTGACTGCAATGATACCTGAAAAGAGGAAAAAAAATACTATAAAAGAACATTGCATGCATAAAAAACATCAAACAGATCAACGAAATTGGTTGTATATGATGTACTGAACTGTAATACTATGTTATGCATGAAAATCCAATAAAAAGAATTTACAAAAAAAACCAAAAACAGATCAACGAAAAACTGTCCAGTGTCATGACGGACACTCAAAATAAAGTCCGGAAGGTCTGGGGCCCTTGGTTTGCATATGCACACCCGACCATTCCCCTCACGAGCCTAACGTCACTTTGAGTGGATACCCCAGCCTGGAGGTACTACCCCGCTGCCACATACCTCCTCCACCCCGCTCCCCTACTTCTTCTGTTCTTCCTTCTTTCCTCCCACTCTTGTTCTCTATGTATGGCACTCTTGCTCCTTTGATAAGCACCTTAGGGTGCTGGATTAATTTTGATTGATCCCCAGGATACTTGTTAAAACAATACAACTGATTTACAAATGTTACCGACAAGGTGATTGTATCTTCTGCCTTTTACCTGAAACTGTACTGTAATCGTTTTATTTTTATGACGGAAAAAAAAAAACTATTGAATAAA